ATGCTAGGACAATATTCATTTTCTTTCTGGACGCTTTATCTGACGCATCTATAAGCGCCGGCTTTCCAAAGGGCCAATCGGCCGCATGATTCTGTTAACTGGAAGTCGATGAAGCTCTTTTGAGTGGAAGCGATGTTATTAAAAACTCTTAATGATTTTGCTCACGCTCGGCACATCTAGCGTCTTCGGTTTTCCAGCTATTGAACGATTCACAAATGATGGCGACTAGAAAGAGGAAATCCCTCAAAACACAGTCGATTACCGTAAGATTATTGTGTTTCAAGCAATCTACCTTAGAGATGCTTCTAGCACTTTTCTTTGACTTCTTGATACACTGACTAGCAATCCACGTTAGTAGGAATAATAATAAACACTGCTAAAAATACAACGCACATAAAGAGGCGTATGCTCACAAGTAAAATTTATAGAGTTTCCAGGCATGGGAATTGAACTTCTGAATTTTTGAACTAACGCAAACCACTATATAGCCCAAATGCGCATTTGATCACCCCAACGATGCAGCAACTGGCGATCAGTGTATGGTATATCTCTCAGAAAACAGCTTTAACATTTCAGTCTTTGCTATTGCTACTACTATTACTACATTGTTATTCCATTCCATTTTGCCCAATGGTATTGGTATTGTTGAGTGTCGAAATTTTCGAATTTGAATTGAATTTCCAGAATTGAACTAGCGACCTGTAACATTATGAAGATCACTGAAGTGGAGATGAGACCGAATCAAGGCAACCGTCCACCTGGGGAGAGAGTGGTACAAACTATTGCAGAAAAACGAAGATGTGTATAAGCTGTCGATATCACTGAAAAATAATGTGTTACCAATACGTGTTACAACATAAAGGCCGGCCTGATATCAGAACCTGCAAAGATAGTACATTCAAATGCAACAAAAGCGATAATTTCTGCCTCAAACAGGCGATGGGAGAATGAAAAAGTATTTCAACAATCGCCACCTCTTATCTGTAGTCTGCCTGTGGTTCAATGGAGCGGGATACGCTGGAATATACATTATGTAGCTGGTACGATACCGCACCTCAAGTTAACCAAGCCTTGCATTTCTCTAAGGCAAGCAGATTCTAAGGCTCGGAAAGGACAAAGGGAACGGATAATAACCCCAACATATCGTGTATGTCAAGTATGCATCCAACCATCCCTTCGAGTGAAACTGAACGCATAACCTTTCTATAGGATTGAACAAGGTCTGATGCTCGATCCTTTATCGTTTTCTTGCAATTTTGTTGCCAACCATATCTAGGAATGTATCTCTCTGTGCTGTTCATAATCCTTAAACAAGATTGAGATTTCTTGATGAATACGAATAGCATCACATTCTTTATCAACTTCGGCGGTTCTGACATTCACTTAACTTATTTCACAACTAACAGGATTATAGGTGATTAAAAAGCAAACGATAAAACTTTCGGCACTGATCAATCCCCGAGGAACTCTATAGTCTATGCAATCATTTGCGACAGTCTAGAGATGTATCCAGCCAGTGGTGGTATCCCCATACAAGTTGAGCACCAATTAGAAGACCCCGGAGGGACGGGAAGCCTAGTGATTCATGGGCGTGAGATCGAACAGAGACCACGTGTGTATTCCAGGGTACCTCTGACAACTGTGCTACATGCGTCCCTATGTCTGCAGCTGATACAGATGAACGATGTTTAGACCTTAATGGATCGAAACCCACTAGCAATACCTCAAGGCAAGCCGAGTATCGTGGTACTATAGAGGAAATTAGCGAGATTTCTAGAGATTTGATCGCGCGACCTGTTGTTTACTGTGGATTATAAAACAATTTTACTACATGCGAAAAATGTGAAACATTGGCTCACGAGCCAGTACATGCCTTCAAATGGACTGTTTTTGTCGAAGAATGTTTGCATCAACGAAAGTGTCAATCAAACCTATGAATGCCTTCGAAACGATCATGTTTCCCAGCTGTGCATTTCGTCCTATAACTAGATCTTTCCCCATGTCTTCGCTCTTCGGCGAACAGCCACAGCAGTGTCAGCTTTTGGTAGACTTCACAATATAAACAGAGCACATTTCTGCTTTTACATAGTTTTTCTATTCTCTCATTTCACAAGAGAACTAGATTCACCATAGCTATTAAAATGTGACAACAATAATTTTCTAGTGTTGCTGTTATTGTAGCAGACACGACTTTGGTATACAGCATTTGTTCATTCATAACAGCTCACCTTCCAGTGGATTCTGCCCTCTTAACAGCTTAAAAAGTTCGAGTTATTCGTAACCTACTTGATCAAATACTGCCATAATTTTAATGGAATAATCATGAAACCTAGACTTCAGTCGCACTGGAACACTTTTTTTTCTACTTCTGCCGTAGAGGCTATAGAGGTAGGTTGACCGAGGTAGGTTTCCAGTTAGCTTGATCTTCAAGAGTCTGAAGAAGGCGAAATTCACTGGATCGTCAGCCAGTATTGTCTTGAAAAAACCCCGTTTACAAAGCTAAATTTTATGTGAAAAAATGTTGATTATGTGTAAAGAATTCGAAATTCTGAAAAATGCAGATTATAGGGAATATTTATATTCTATGCAACCCTCAACGTCACCAGTGAAACACTATACCAGTAGGCATTGATGAAGTTCACATTATGAGTGAATGCCGAAAATTCTATTTATAGGTACACAGCAGATGTCTAATTAAGCTCCTCATCACCGACAGACCCTACATTAAGTTATCGTAACGGGAATCAAGGAGACCAGCAAACTCGTCCAGTAACAGTCTTCTCTTTCGCTGCAAGTGTACAAAATAACTTCCCTCGAAGAACGCTAGGAGCAATACATGTTATAGAGAGGTTATGGATCTAATACAAAAGTCATTGCAAGAAGACATTGTGGAGCACTAAAAAGAACTGCCGAGAATACGCATTGGATTCAAGGCGCAATGTCAGCTGTGTCCCATGCGCGTTGAAATCATTACGCTTTGTCACGAATGTGTCAAAAGCACTGCAGTAACTACTGTAGCTGTCCATAGTTACGGTATCCAAGTAATGCAAATTGTTGTAGTAATGTTTAACCATCCAACGGTGTACCACCTTATTGTGGATGGGAGATGTTCCTGGATGCCGGGCTGCAATGTGGGGATTGATTCCACCAGCAGGTTTTTCCAAACTCGAAAGGAGACCTCTGTTTTACACCAGGACGCTCAGCTAAGAGTAAACAAATACCAGGATCCGTCACCGTTCTGATAGCAAACTAGTCGTGTGGTGGCAAATCTTTCTCTGATCCACCAGGGCGGCGACTACCTGTGGTGATGACTACCAAGGACAGACTTTGGCCTTGCTGACCTCGGAACTCCAGAGAACCACGATGGCTAAACCAGCAAAAGTCCCAACAAATGAAGATTATGCTGGGGCCCGCACAATCAGTGAGGATGGACTATCCAAATATCTAAGTATCCTCACTGCTTATGCGGGCTTCAGCATAATCTCCACTTTTTGACTTTTGTTGGTTTAGCCATTCGCTGGAGTCCCGGGGTCGGCTAAGCCAAAGGCCGCCCCAGTTTGTCACCACCACAGGCAGTCGCCGCCCTTGTGGATCACAAAGAGGTTTGCGACCACGCAACTATTTTGCTATCAAGGCGGTGACGGATCCTGGTATTGGTTTACTCTTAGCTGAGCTTCCTGATGGAAACGCCGGACTCTTCCTTAACTTGGGAGACCCTCCAAGAGAGATGAATCTCCCACTTCGCATCGCGGCACGACACCCAGGAACATCTCCCAACAACAATGAGGCCGTAAACCGTTGATAGGTACTAGCTAATCATAATATGAAAAGCTTGTCTGGAATGCACATCATTGTTATGATGTAATTGCAGAGTGTAACTGATACTGTTGAATTGTTGAACTACTTGTGTAGAAATTAAACCAAGCCCACGAAATTTAATAATCACAAATTCTTTTCTTACTCTAAGCTATATACCAATCGTTATCGATGATATGTTGTTATGAAGGATAAAGCCTTCGGCATAGATCAATCTCTGAAAGAAATTTCCTATGTGCCACCCCATCAAGAATCATATGGTTGGATGTTATGTCAACATCTTTATCTTTACAGATTTCGCACCTATGAAGGTGCTGTGGGTTTCGTTAACCTGCGTAATCAAAGAAAGTCACGATATCCACTGTAGAACGAGCGCTTTTAACCACTACACCACACTCGCCCCTATTCTACGTCAGTATACCACGTTAAACCTACTTTTTTGCCCGTTTCGCTCACCCAGTACTTTATTTTTAGATAACCTGACATGACATGTAGCACACCTGCGCATCGCAGCACTACTTGCACCGATTCCTTTCTTCACATCCACCATCCATGGATATCCTAGCTTTTTTTGCGTGTGACTTAGAGCACTGTTTGAGGTATTATTCATCTCCGTCGAGAATGCCACTGAATGTTGGGCGAATCGATTCTTCCTGGAATCCTGAGAAAGCCGTACTATTCCCACGTGGATTAGAGGGAGTGGACTTGTCCCACACGTCCGGTATCAATTTTCCGAACCAGGAGGGAGAAGCATGGTGAGTCCAGGGCAGGTCGGAGCAGGTTCAACCACCTGCGTAATGAGTGGGACACTGACCCACGCGCTATCCGATCTATGAAACATTTTACGTGTACAGTAAATAAATGTAACGAAACGAGAAGTTATAGTGAGAAACACTCCTTTGCCATCAATTGATAAGATTTGTGATATATTAACTAGCACTTTATTACGAAAAAAAGTTCTATGAGAGTAGTAATCTGGTGAATCCTCAAAGAAATTGTGTCACTCTTAGTGGAAAGGACTCAGCGAAAGCGGTAGAGAAAAGTGGAAACAAGGAGAAGACTGACAATCGTTAGTCATTTTCAAGCAATACATTTCCAAGCATTAAATTACCGAAAATGACTGAAACAAAAGGATGAATCGAAGACAAACTGAAAACACACAAAACAAATGAGTGGCGATAAAATCACGCTACACCAAGGAATATTCGGATGTTCTCAAAAACTTTATCAACGGCAGTCTTCAGAATATCAAGGACAACATTAATTTGACTCCTATATTCATCTCCTTGCTGGAAAGTAAAGTTCAATTGGAACTGAGTTTATAAATACAATTGAATTTCTTGAATCCATAGATGTTAGAAACAATAATACCTCAACAACTCTGCGCCGAAGATGCTCAATTTCAGCGTCGCGATCAGCCAGCCGACGACGTAGTTCTCCTATCTCATCGTTCGTCTCTCGACCATGTTCCAAACGCTTGGGGTGTTCACATGGAAAAACATCTAAGTAAGGGAACACCACATATTTTAACAAACTACGGAAAGCACCCACAGAAACAACGAGCCAATGAAAGTTACGAGATGAAAAGTTGGTTTTAAAAAAGAAAGATAAGAAATTCATGCAAATAAAAAGCAATTTAAATGTAATTACCGGTGGATGTCAAATAGGCATCCGGTGATACATCATTACAGTTGTTGTTCTGCTCCAAACTAATTACTTCAGACGATGTGGAAAGAGAGGCTGTTAAATTCGATGCCACTAGATAGTCATCATCTTTCCTACAATTTATGGATAATTCTCCCACAAAATAAATCTTTTCAACCATGATAAAAGAATAGAAGGATAAAGCTCTCGGCGCTGGTCAATAGCTAAGGGATGCGCCATGTATTAAGCTTCGTTGAAGGTGATTGAATGCATATCTGGCCTTTACAATAACTTGCGGTGGTCTATTGATATATCGACCCAGTGCTGCTATTCTCCTAGAGAAGTTTGGTCCCAATTTGTCAACCCCGTGAGATGGAGGGCTTAGTGAACCTAGCGCGTGAGGATCAAACCCTTGCGTACTGCAGGGCCCCTCCGACCAGTGCGCTGCGGGTGAACCCAACTCTAATCGTTGGCCAACTTAGGTGAAAACGCATAAAATGTATGCAATTCTAGGGTAACCGATACTACAGAGTGTCCCATTATAAGACTAATAATATAATAAATATGCTGGCAGAATACGTGCTTTCAACTTACTTTTCGAATCGAAGGCGCCGGCGACGCTTGCAATTTGAAAACAACTTCTTCGTTTGTTCCAGGTCAAGCGGGTTAAGTAAACCCATGTATTTATCGTTGGTGAGTTTGGAAATCTTTAACCACATGCTGTGCCTTTCAGCGTTAACTTGAGCAGACCTGATAAACTTCAGAAATTCTAAAACCACCGAATATTTGCTTCTGCTATGAGCTATGGTAAACTGCAGCAAGTACACTATTTAAATTCGAAAACATGGTAAAAGTCGTGAAGATGAGTGGAGTAGTGGTAAAAGCAGAAGGATGCGTATATATATATATATATTTATATACGTGCATATTTTCCCAACGGTTTACCGCCTCATCGCGGCTGGGGAAGTGTTCCTGGGTGTCGGACTGCGATGTACAGCGGGGGGATTCGTCCCCCGGCAGGGTCTCCCAAGCTGAGAAAGAGTCCGGCGTTTCCATCACGAAGCCAGCTAAGAGTGGACCAATACCAGGATCCACCACCGTCTTGGTATCAAAGTCGCATGGTGGTAAATCTCCTTCTGATCCACAAGGGCTGCGACTGCCTGAGGAATGGTGACGACCTGAGGCAGACTTTAGCCAGGATGACCTCGGGATTCCAAAAAACCAGCAAATCTCCGGAAAATGATGATTATGCTGGGCCCGCACAACTAGTGATGACGGGCCATTCAAGTATCAAGTATATATGCATATATATGTATATATAATATTCGTTACATATTCAAACGAAATGATCATGTTACCTCGATGAACTATTGAAACACATTCTCTCCATGTAATACTCAGCTAGTGATACCACAAAGTTGTTTCGTTCCTTTTTCAGCTGATAGATGGTATCACCGAAAATCATCGCTGGAGAAGATACGGTCTGGTGTAATTTTTTTAATGACCCAGAACAGGATGAAGAAGAAAGTGACCTGTTGGATATAAACCAACTTGTGTTGAAAGAAATATTACACATTAGTGTTTAAATTGCTGAGCTTACACGAAATTGTTATACAACTTTTATTCGGCTAATGTCTCGACGTCTTCGTCTTCACCAGAGCCGATGACCCGAGTAGACCACTTTAGTGATTCTCACAAAAAATATCATGAAATTTCTCACGTGACGGAACACATCAATTGTCGTTCTACGTTGGCTTCGTTGAGGATTTCCATCGATGTAATATTATCGCTCTCGAAACCACCATGTTCGCTCGAAATCAAGTCACATCTTGAGGAAGGAGTGGTACACAGTTGTTCAGATTCTTTTCCATCATCACACGCTTTAGTCTGCCCAAATGTTTTACTAAAAATGCAGTATTAACAACATTTATGCTTCACACCTTCTTGGATCATTAACCTCACACGACATTGTTATGAAAATATTATTGTAGCTGAGGATTCGACGACTTCATCCTCTTCAATTCGCAATCCTTCGAGTCGGTTGCCCACAGATGCTCATTATTGAGAAGTTGCTGTTCGTCGTTGCATCGAGTGGTGTCCAGTGAAGTGGAACATTGCGCCAATGCAACAACTTCATTCACCAGTTCCCTTATACACAACTGTTCTTGACAACCAATTGTGCTGTACTCGTCGGGATTCTAATCGATGCAACTATGCAGATACACGTCGTCAGAATGAACGGCTGTGGACGATCAACTCGAATCATTGACTTTGAAGAAGCCAATAAAGTTTTTACAACAAGCTCTCCAAAAAAATTGATTACAACCAGCGCAATCAACAGAATTCAACACGACGAATCTTCAAGTTGAAGATTTCGCTCAATCAAGAGAACATAAACTTCAAGAGTTCCTTACTCACATGCTATCGCAGATGTCATAGTCTCTCTTCTTATAGTAAGAGAGAAGTTTTTTCACTTTCTCTACTGATAAGATTTCCAATCGAGAACCGAACGTGTCGTTGACCTAAAGCATAATCATATGCACACTATACCACCAAACGCTTATATTATAGGAAAAGAAGTTCGTTAGAAAAATTTATGTTACGGGGCAACTGGATCTGCCTACTACAATGAGATGCACTTGTTTCATACTTCGCATGTAATTTTTTCCCACATCTGTGCACGTTCTAAGTTCTTCTCTGCTTTTCTGGCAGTTGCCGAGTCCTAAACAGTACAATTTAAAGCAATCCATCGAACCCGTTAAAACAAGATTTAATAAAAACCCACAGCAAGACGAGGATGTTCTCTGAATAACCTCACCAGCATTTCTCCGCGTTCTCTACGTAATTCTTTCTCTTTTTGACTGCCTGAGAACATCCTAAAAGGTCCCATCTAAAACGCACTATTCTGTAATTCAAAAGTAAAAGCTTGATTCATAATGGGGAACAGTTAATTAGGATATGCCGAAATTCAAACATTGTGTGATACAACGATAATGATGCTGAGATATTGACAAGACAGGTGTGTGCGGTGCGGAACGAGCGAGCTATTACCCTTTCCGAGAACACACAGTACTCTGTTGCGAAAAATTCTAATAGGTAGTAAATTAAAGATTAACATTGTGATTTCGACTACATCCTCAGCTTAACTCGGTTCATTGCGGATTTGTGCTCCCCAGATCAATCCCGTTGATGGGCGACTGCTGATGGTACTGGTGGATTGAAAACTAGCCGAGAGACAGACGAAACGAAGAGTCAGTATGGTGTAGTGGTGAACGCGTCAGTCTCCGGAAAGGGTAACAGCGCGTTTGTTTCCCATCGCAGACACCAGCCGTCCGGAGTTTCGCAAATATCTCAGGATGATTGTGGTTGTACCACACATAATACACTACCGTGAAAAATCGTAATAGGCAGTAAATAGAAAGTTAACATTGCATACTTTGTATTCAAGTATGACTTAAATGCACAATTTTTTATCACAGGCCATTTCTGTGGAAAAGTACAGCCGACCTGCTGACAGGTTTCTCTTCTTCTTGAAAGGGAAGATTGGCATTGTTCATCTCGATTCCTAGGCAACGCAGACGTGCCAATGTCATGTCGCCGTCACTTGATATATTCAGATTTAAACGATTTGAAAAAATTCGAAAAAATTCGATGTGAAATGGGACACGGAGAGATAAGGCGAGGGAAGACATTAATAGGCTTAAAAATTCCCTATAGTAACCTATCCAATTCCACTGTAAACCCTCTTAATATCTCTAAGCTTTTCGTAAAAAGTTTAACAAGCATCAATGTTTTCAGACCCAAATTTTTACGTATGCATGCTATTGCACCTTCAAATTCGTTCAAAAAAGTGAACTAAAAGAAGCTATCGATTAAATGACGAACAAATCTCTCCGGAGTTCCTCATAGAGTTGTATATTCGAGTAAATTCGAAGTGCTAATGAACCGATCGATACTGTAGCTGTTCAAAGTTATTGATAGATCCTGGGATCTCCTATAGCAACTGATTCTAAGTGAACGACATTAAAAATCAAACAAACAGGGACGTAACTAGGGAAAGAAAAACGTACCTGTCCAATCCAGTGATAATAATCTTCGTATTTGAGCGATGATTCACTTTGCCATGCTCATTGTCAATAAATGTCGACTCTTCTTTTACACCGAAACTCCTAGAAAAGACAACGAAAATCGAACTAAATTTAGAAACAAAAAAGCAGCTTACCTCTCGGTAATCTCCGCTACAGTTGGCTCTGAGATATATTTAAATCTCTTTAAATTGATGTCATGGCTGGTCATCGATGGTGAGTTCCTCTTCATTAATACCATTCACAATTCACTGACAACAACATCACAAGAATGGAGTACTTAAAGTTAGGTAGATGTTAAAATCTACACTATTCGTCGTGGTATTAAACCAATGGCATGCGTCTCTGATTGGTAGTACTTTCATAAAGCGGATAAAGGTTAAAGGATAAAGCTCTCGGCATCAATCCCTGAGGAATACGCCATGCATTCGACTTCATTAAGCATCGTTAGATGTGACTGTGGCTTTTACAATGATACGTGGTCGCCTAGTGATGTATCGAGCCAGTGCTGCTATTCCCGCAGACAAGTCTGCTACCAATTTGCTGATCTTAGAGGGATGGAAGCCTATGGAGTGGACAGCCTCATAAAATGGGACACAGCCAGTTCTTACGTACACTTAAAACTATATGGAGACCTATAATTTAAAACCGCAAACGACAGTGAAATTGTTGCTGAAATCGTTTAAAAAAGTGAAATCGTGGTTTAAAATACGCTTATTCCTCATAAGTAATGGCAAAAGGTATCATTAAGGAACGAAATAAGAAGGGTACCAACCATCGTCAGAGCGTTCGAACGATGTCTTCTGAAGTTTACCCATCGTATAAGATCAAGCCAAACTCAGTAGTCAAGATCTCAGACAGTTATTCCATCTTTGTGATCCGAGAGAATAAGCAAGGCAAAGATGAATCGTGTTAGAAGAACTGACGACAGATGGACGAGAAGCACAGAACCACTACAAGTTATGCGCTCATGGCCCACGTCAAGTAGCAGTATTTGCAGCTGCGAACCGCTGAGGAACCACGGAACCTGGCCAATGGATTCAAACTTCATCGATGTAGACCTTTTCGACGTTTGAAGACGATCACAAAAGCAAGAGAAACAGGTGGAGAATGTGTTGCGGTTTGCAATTATCGCGAAGACAAGCCATCCATCTAATTATCGTTAGATTACAAAGTAAATAAGAGGTGCGCTTAGCGTAGTAATCGGAGACGCCCTGCAACACACACACATGGGAGCGATCTTCATGCCTGTGGCTTACCAAGCCTTCCATCCCTTAGGGGTAGGCAAATTGGCACCAGACTTATTTGGTAGGATAGCAGCACTGGCGCGATGCATCGGCAGACCACTGCGAATCATGAGGCCAGGTATGCATCACCTCCAACGACGCTTAATGAAGTCGAATGCACGGCACATCCCTCAAGGATGGATCAACGTAGAGAGTTTTATCCTTCTTATATTTTTGCAAAGCAAAAAAGAAAGGAGTAATTCTGTGATGTCATATATGTGTCGCAGGATAAACGTAAAATCATATTTTTTGAGTTTCCACTAAGCCATGGTAATAACTGTTTTAAGTCGCCTCCACTCGGGCCGTCGTTACCTTAAACATAAGTTGAAGAAAGACCTCATTTAAGCTCCTAGTCGTGTAACAAAGGGCAAACCGGATCAGAAATGCTGCAGATTTACTTAGTAATTTTGCTAAATCTGTTATCAGAATGACAAACAAATGAACAAACACCGAGAGTAAAAGTCTAACTCAACATATAAATGTAGACGAAGGCTGCTTAACATGGTAAATAAAACGAGGCCGATTCAAGATGTCGATTTAGTCTGAATTTCTTAGCCTCGAATCCTAGACTAATATAAGAAACACAACCAGAAAAGCGAAATAGTTCAAGTAATTAAGTTATGCGTAGTCACGGGATGTTCTGGATTACGCAGAAGCAGCTAGCTGTAACGTAAACAGTAGTATACTTCGTCCAATACTTTTGGGCTAATAAGACACAGCCGGGAGAAAGGCGAAACGAAGGACGCTCGTGGTGTGATGGTGAACAAGTTTGCCCCCGGAGAGGGTAATAGTGAGTTCGATCCCCACCGCAGACGCCAACGTTGCGGAGTTTTGCAAAATATCTCGGCATTATTGTGGTTATCTTTCACATCATACTTTGCCATGAAAAAAGAATAGGCAATAAATAAAAAGTGATTATATAGTAATGCAGTTGGATCTCAAGAACTGCAAAAATGACATAATTTGTAGAGGCAGCTACATGAAATTTCCACTAGATTTCTAGTCACTCAATCGTTTTCCGCTTCACCGTGGCGATTTCTAGGTCTACCGCTATGTGTATTAACGGGTTCATTCTCCATCAAGGTAATCCAAGCTGGTCAGTAGAATATTTCTAGCTGAAACTCAAACTTGGAGTGAAGTTATGTTATTAGTGGTTGCGTTCCCAGAAGACAGCCAGTAGTAAAAAAAACCTCTCTCTAACTCAGAAGGGGCAGCGACCCAGGAATTCAGTGCTATGGCTACGTCGTAGTTTTTAGGCCAAAGAAAAATCAAAACAGTAAAGTACCGGTCAAATGGAGGTTGTGCTGCATTATAAAGCACGATTCGCCAAGATGCACTTCCCAAGTATCTATATTTACATCCATATATATACATATACGGTCTATTCCGGGCGCCAAGGGCGCGTGTGTCGCAGTGGTTGGAGACGCCACACGTGGAATCGATCCCCGCGCACATGGCCCACCAAGCCTTCCATCCATCCGCGGTCGGCAAATTGGTACCAGGCTTGTCTGGGAGGATAGCAGCACTGGCTCGATACATCGGTAGGCCACCGCGAGTCACTACAAAGGCCAGATATGCATTCAACCACCTCCAGCGATACTTAATGAAGTCGAGTGCATGGATCATCCTTCAGGGATTGACCAACGCCGAGAGCTTTATCCTTTATTTTTATTCCTTGCATATACATGTGTATATACATATGTATATATATGTACATGTACGTATATGTATATAATGTTATTAAAGTTAGGTAGTTTGCAATGCTGTCGGAGTAAACCACACATTAATATTGAAATAATAAATGAACGTTTTCACAATTTATAAAGCGAAGCTTTCCACATTGCCATAGAACAGCTTCTCATAACCAATGCGAGCCTAGAAGGTTACAGGCACCACGAGGTCAAAAAATTCTGCGAAAAATACGTGTTACTGGACATCTACAAGCATGCACTCTTACAGTACACTTCATGTTGTTGTCTTCATAAGACGATGGAATACGACTGCTAAAGAAATCCCGACATATTCACGAGAATAGGATGCCCGTGCTGGAGTCCATTGAGAAGAGGAAGACAAATATGTCAGAGCTGAAGAGGAAGAAGAATAGTAAGTGGCCTGCGAGCTTCCATGACAACTGAGTGACTTCCAAAAGTGGGACCGGAACAATCGGGTATGACGACGGTCAGAGAGCACGACAGCAGAGCATGAGTGTCTTGGATTGAGGTCCACCGACAAGAGAGTATGGAGATCTGAGATCTCTTGACGACGAGTGCTTGATCGTCAGTGTGAGTGAGACGCAGAGTGGCGACGAAACCCACTTGCAACTTCCTCGACGACATCCATTAGGACGATCTCTGCTGATAGTTCTTCAGTGTTGTCGATAGAGAGAGCTGCTAGAAGCATTGTCTCGGGTACCGTATCCCGCATTGTGAGTTCTGAATGTGCCAGAGGAGTAAAGTTGCAGTAGCTGTGGGCTATGCGTTAGGATGCCAGGACAGGAGACGACAACTTTTACCAACCTCGCATGAGGTCAACAAAGGCAGTTCGTAAGAGTATAAATACATTTGGAGATCATTCGATTAAAAAAACCGCTTTGTAGTTTACTGATCCCAATCGGTTGTTATACGTCGTCGACTTTGTCCTACGTATAACTGAATAGTTGGATACACGGTCGAGATCCTGATCACTTTTTTTCAGATCACATTGTTAGGCAAATTTCATGCTTTGGTGACGATCACGTGAATTTCATCCGAAGTTTACATAGTTGCACAAATATTCACAGTCAATGGTAAATGCTAAGGTCAAGTGAAGTTCAACAACATTAATATGAAGAGAAATCCTTTATGTAATTAATTGGTGACAAAAGAAACCAGGGATAAAATGCCAAGAAAAAAGGAGAAGCGTTCCTCCTGTGACGTCACGAATGTGAAATTGCGTTTGTAGACAGTGTGACTAGCATTCTATCATTTGTAAACTAAGATCGTCCTCTATCTATACGTGGTTATTCTGTTCAAGAAGGGTGACGGTAAGAGCATTTTTAACTATCGTCCGATATGCTCGTTCAGTGAACTCTACAAGTTCTTCACGAAGGTTACCCTTTTGCACATATCGGAGAACTTGGATGAGACATAACCAGTTGAGTAAGCAGATTCCGACAAGTATTTTCCTGCATGGGCCACATCTAAGGCTTTAAATGGGACATAGAAGTCTTTCGGGTGTACCATCTTCTCCTTGTCCCAATCTTTATTTACCAAGGAGAAAGCGTTCAGCAGCATCGAAGCGAAGGCAATCTTTTCAGCTCATGTCAACCAGAGTGGACACGTTCTACATACGAAGACTGGTATGCTGTTATCGGAAGTGGAGCAGACAAATACAGCTTTTCCACCGACCGCTCACTACAGCTACACGATAAGGAGTTCGACAAGATCACACTTCCTCAAAAAGGGCAGACGTATAGGTGGAAATTTTCTACCAAACCTTAGTTTCGAGTAATCATTTGAACAATTACGAACGAAACAAAGACGAATGAGCTAATCAAAGAGCTCAACGGAACGAGAGGCAGTTAACGAAGAGTCCATGGTGCCAAGGTGAACAAATCGAACTAGATGGTTCCCTGACTCTCACCTGTATCAGCAGTAGTCCCGTTAATCGTCGACTGACTCGGGCGAGCGCCCGTAAAACTTCCATTTTTCCCTGTTGCGTGCAAGAGTAGCCCAGTGGGTTCTCCTCGCTCTAGGGACTTGTCGAGCATCATATCTTTCTTCAAGGCTCTTTGTGAAGAACTCTGACCATCGAGTCGTGGTCTTCCTGCAGTACGTTTGACATCGCGGGGAATCCAGTCACTAACGGCTCCTGCCCATCGGTTGCTATTCATACGCATTACGTGTCCAGCCCACCTTATCTTTGACTGTTTGGCGTACACAACGGCACCTTTGATTTTTGATCGTTGATACAGGTCGGAGCTTCGGATCTCTTCTCTTACTAGTGCGGAACGGGATAATCCTATCGTCCTTTCGACTGCGCGTTCGATAATCCTGAGTGACCTTTCATCCTGCTGACGCATACGTTAGGCCAGGAAGTACCGTTGAGTCGAAAAAGTGGTCACGGAGTCGGGTGTTCTTTGTTCTTTTCACTACATCCTTGATGCTCTTGAAAACTCTCCAAGCCGCCCGTTTTCTTCTGCTCAGCTCTGGAGCTAGGTCATTTATCATATTGATTTCCTGACCTAGATAGATATAACTGGAACATTCGGAGATATTCGTTCCGTTGAGCGTGAATGGGGTATGCGAAACCAATCCGTTCCTCACAAACATCGTTTTTGTGAGATTTAGTCGAAGACCAATCTTTCCACAGGCTTTATCGAAGTCGTGAAGCATTTATTCCGCTTGGCTATTGTTTAGTGTTATAAGGACGATGGCATCAGCAAAGCGAAGATGGTGTAACTACCGACCATTGATTTTCACTGGCATATTATCCCATTCCAATGTTCGCATGACGTTCTGGAGGGCGGCGGTAAATAATTTTGGCGAGATGGTATAGCCTTGCTAAAATCCTCTTTTGACGTCGATGTTAATATCGTTGTAGAATGGTGATATCTTCGTTGTGAAATTTTTGTACAGCTCACAGCTTACGAAGAATGTTTATGTTCTGAGCAAAGAATCCTTAACCATCAAGAGCTTCCAGGTTTGGTGCTATCTCAACTGAATCAAAGTCCTTCTGTAAATCCATTAAAGTGAGACAGAGTGGTCTTTTATACTCTCGCGATACTTCATTGAGACGTGTTACCGTGTGGATGTAGTCCATCGTACTAAATCCTCTTCGAAATCCTGCCTGCTCACATGGCTGTCCTTCGTCTAGTGTTCTGTCATTCCTGTTTGGGATAACTCGAATGAAAAGTTTGTAGACGACAGACAGTAACCAGATTGGGCGATAGTTGCCGATATCGTGCAGGTCACCCTTCTTGAACAATAACATGGTCTTGCTGGTCTTCCACTGAGTAGGAACTTTGCATTCAGACAGGTAACGTGTGAAGAGCCGAGCCAGTGTGTTCACGAGGACAGTCGGAAGGCTCCTCAGGTGTTCTGGTCTTATCCTGTCCGGATCTAGTGCTGTTCGTTTTTTCACCCGCGAAATGGCATGTCGGATTTCAGAAGGGAGAACCGGTGGTACAAGATATCCATCCTCCTTTATCTCATGCGAAGGCAGGATGACCTGGTGATTGAAAACACCTGAAAGTAAGGGTGAGTGATTTTCTAAATTGTCTTTCTAGAAACTGTACTGTTCCGTCGCTGCATCGGAGTGCAATT